TCTCATGTACTTAATCTATCTTCTGTTGTGGTTCCATCTTCCCGGTTAAATTCTGGGAAATAATATTCAACTCCAGACTTGTCCCTATGATTAAGAAAATGGCCATTTTCTTAGTATTTGAACTGTTATTTCTGTGTTTCTTTATTTAATTTTCCTGGTTATAGCACTCCCTTGAGAACTTCTTGGAGATCTGCTCTGGTGTTAGTAAATTCTTTCAGGTTTTGTTTACCTGAAAGAATTTGTTCTTGTCTTTTTTTTTTTCTCATATGAAGGATAATCTTGCAGGGTACAGTATTCTTGGTTGAAATTGTTTTTCACTCAACATTTTGAATATATTTTTCCATTCTTTCCTCATTCTCATTGTTTCCAATGAGAGGTCTGCTATCAGCCTGATGGGATATCCTTTGTAGGTTACTTACTGTTTTTCTCTTGCCAGTCTTAGTATCTTGTCTTTGTCTGTGGTTTTGGTCAATCTGGCTATGATGTGTCTTGGAGAAGATCTTCTTGGATTGATTCTATTTGGGATCCTTTGTATTTCTTGAGACTGGATCTTTGAATGCCTCTCTAGGTTTGGAAAGTTTTCTTGCAGGATTTTATGGAATAGATTATCAATGCCCTTACGAGTCTCTTCGCCTTCTGGGATACCAATTATCTGGATGTTTGGATGTTTGATGGTATCTAGTATTTCTCATATATTATTCTCATTTTGGGGGGCAATTTTCTGTCTTCGTGGTGGATTTTCCTAGGCCATGTAGATCTTCTACATTTGCAATATCACCTCCTGGAACTTGTCAGTTCATTTCTGCTGCCTCTTCTGCAGTTCATTGTCTCTCTTCCATCCCTGTTAAGCTCTTCATTATGAATATTCTAAATTCTTTATCAGACATTTCCAATGAACTATCTGTGGATGAAGAGGCCTTATTCTTTTACCTTGGAGGAGAGGTATTTTCTTGATTTCTTATATTTCTTGTGGCCCTGTGGTGATTTCTAGTCATCTGATGGATGTTGTGTTTCTTCCTAATTCTTGAAGTTCAATCTGAGTGTTCAGGAGTGTACAGAAGGAGGTTATCTGAAATATCTTTGCTGTTCCACTTTTATGCCTTTGTGCAACAGTTACAGTGGATATTGTTAACCCTAATAGTATTTTGATGTTTGACTATGGTTCTCTTAGATCTGTCTAGAAACACAGAGAATGGAGATTGAGGAGCAAAGTGACGAAATAAAAGAAAAAGAAAAGGAAAGAGAGAGAGAGAACAAAAAAGAAAAACAAACAAACAAACAAAACCAAAGAAACTGAGAGGAAAAGAGGAAAAAAATAAAAAAACAACCAAAACATTTTATTTTTTTTAAAAAAAGCAAAAAATAAAAAAACCATGCATGAAGGAGTCTTCTTCTGAAGGCCTGCCCCTTACCTTTCCTGGATGAGTGGGGGAAAGGGGATTATTAGTGAGATAAAGAAGGGGCTGAAAGCCAAGAGAAATACTTTACCTTAAATGTTGTTTTTAAGGAAAAACTACCAAAAAATGAGAAGACAGAGACAGAGAGAGACAGAGAGAGGCAGAGAGAGAAGGCTAGAGGGACTCCCTACCACTTGAGTGTGTGGGCTGGAGGCTGGATTACCAGTAGAAAAATCTTCATTTCCCTTTTTTTTTTTTTTTTTCCCTGAAAAAACTAGTTCTCAGGAGCCATGGAGGAATTTTCTGAAGGCCTGCCCCTTGCCTCTCCATCATTTCTTATTTTCTCTTGCACCTCCTCATATTACCATTATTATTCTTTTTTGCCAGCATTAACTATTTCTATGATGATTTCCAAATTGCAATGTTCTAAATTCAATATTCCTATGATCAGTTAGCATTCCACTGTAAAGAAAAACTCTCTCCTCTCCCAATGTATCTGTTCATCTACTTATTACTATCAAAAGGGACTTGTTCATTCCCATTTTATTCAGTGGATTCTAACTCATTACTATCATTACTTATTTTGGCACACAGTCATCCAAGATTTGACCAGTCAGCGTGCTTTCAAATGACATGTGGGTCCTTTCAACATTCTCTGAGTATTACCTCAGTTGTTCTTTACAACATGATCTTCCAGATTTACCTTGTTCTTTCTCTATCCCAGTTCTAAAATCAACCAACTTTCCAAGGAGGCCTGGTACCTTTTAGTGGAAATACCTTTTGTATTTAGAAACCAAAATGTAGGCAGTAGGTTTGCTCATTGCTACTGGGTATATTGCTGCTTGCAGGCTCTCCTAGTGCCCAGAGCTAGGAATTGTAGGAGGTATACAGGCATACACATATATAGACATACACATGTATCTTAATATTATTTCTGTGTTGGTATATATACATACATACACACACACACACATATATGCAAAATTTGTATGATTCCATTTCCAATATAACAACACAGGCTTCATTTGAACTTCCCTTCATACCTTTATATTATTTTTGTGTTGGTATATACACACACACACACACACATACATTTATATACACACACAGACACAAACACACAGATGTATGCGAAATTTGTATTGTCTCCATTTCCAATACAACACAGGGTTCTTTTGAACTTCTCTTCTGTGCACATTGGTGCTTCTCTTCATCAGTGAAAAACCTGGCTCCCATTACCCTCACTACATTTGTTTGCTCAATCTCTTGTATGTAGCCAATGTTGTGATGACCCCAAGCTGCCATCCTTACATGGGTCACTGGATTGCCTCCATGACTTTTAGACTGAATTAGGAAGAAGGGAGGAACAAGGAACCAAGAAGTGAAGGAAGGAATACATTGTTTTTAAATTGAGGTTTATTAAATAAAAGTGCAGATCTCAAATGTCTATGAGTTTTGATAATCACATGTACCCAAGTAATAACCACCTAAAATAAAATACAGATATGTATACCCTTCTAGAAAGTTCTCTCATGCAAGGATTTAGTATAGCCACCAGTATACATCACCAGAAACCCTTTTCTCCCAAGTGGTCAGCCATGGTTCATTCAAGTCCTGGACCTAGTGGCTTGAATCTGCTGAAAGTGTGTGCATGCATGCCAAAAATCCCAAGAGGAGAATGGAGGAAAAGGGGTTGCAGTGTGGCCATCCCTCTGCGGGATGATTTTGAATCTCTTATCTCTCCAGCAAATGCATGTGCCCTATAGCAAAAATCTCTCTCCAAACAAATGAACAAACAAACAAACAAAAAACAAGACCACCCCAATGAGAATAAGCAAAGATTATTTTTTCAGAGCTGTTAGACAAGGGAGTCAGGCATCATCACTTGTATTTGGCAGAGATCCAAAGTTAGGTAGAGGAATGTAAAAGCTTTATAACAGAAGAAGGGAGGGCTTTGGGCCAGCAGGTGGCATGGTGGTTAGAGGGTCTGGACTCCCACATGGCCAACCACAGTTTGAGTCTCGGACTCAGTGGCTTGCTTTTGCAACTTGCTTTCTCACTTTCTTTCTCTTTCTGGTCAAACTGAAAAATAATGACAATAAATAAATAAATAATTCTTAAAAAAAAAAAAATTCCCAGACTCTCTTTGACCAAATTTTATCAAATTAAAAAAAAATAAAATTAAATAAATAAATAATTCTAAAAAAAAAAAAAAGAAAGAATTCTAAAAAAGCAAAACAAAACAAAACAAAACAAAAAAAAATGGAAGGAAGAAAGAAGAAAGGAGGGCTTCAAGTAGGCCTGAATGGTTGTTGGTATGGGAAAATGGAGTCGGGCTCACTGGATATGGGACATCCTGTGTGATTAGTTACAGGAACATGTTTGGCTTTCTCTGATTGGTCCTAAACTGGGCTGATTGATACAGATGTTGGCTTCCTAGACTGGTTGCTATGGATATCGTGAGTCAAAATTCTATTTTCACATATGGCTTGGCCATTGTCCATTTACATATTCAATCTCTTAGAGAGAATTGTGTGTAAGAGCCATGAACTCACTAAGAGTCTCCTCTGAGCCTCTCAAGCAACATCAGCAACTGGCCCATTCTGTGTTTCTACTCAAATTCTTCCCTTCTTTCAGTCCCAACCTGTATTTTTACATCAACTTTCTGATCCTTATGACAAATCTAGGAATATGTCTAAACAAATGCAAGACATTACAAGAATGGAGAATGCTCCAGCCTTATAGCCTAGTGATCAATGGAGCTGGATCCCACGTGGCCGATTGCAGTGGGGATACCAGCCCCAGCAGCTTGAGGGACTCACCAAGCACATGTGTGTGAGTGTCCACCATCTGGACAAGATGGAGAGATGGAGGAGAGGGAGCCACAGCATGGCCATATTCCCATTAGGGGTGCTTTTTCCCTCCCCCTCTCACTCTCTATATCTCTGTCTCTCTCTGGCCAGTGTACACACTTTGTGGCAATTAGAAAAGAACGGATGATAAGGGCTTTGCAGAGATTTGCCATGAGGGAAGATGGAGGGTCTAAGGAGGGCTCTAAAGTCATAATGGAGCTACCAGGAGAATCTGTTTATTAGCTGCAGATGAAAGGAGAACTAGTTATTTTATGAGAGAAGTTGTTGGGCTCCATTTTTGAGCATTAAAATTGTAGGTATGTCTTAGAAGCTGTTCTTATGCATCACATACCTGGAAACTGTCACATCATTTTGTAGACTGAGACAGAGAGTGTATGGCCATCCTAAATTCACATGCAAAAGCTGTGTATAAAACAGGAACCGCAATCTTCAGGCACTCCATCTATTACACACACACATCAAAAGATGGAAAGTGAGAGGTCCACGCAACCTGGGAACCACCAGACTTCTTTCAGAGGCAATAATGAGCTGTTTCGTGCCGCTAACAAAAATGTCATGAAAACAGAAATCATCTACCAAAGATTTCACAACAGACCCACAGAAGTGAAGAGTAAATGATTAAAGAAAGTAGGTCTCAGAGTTCCTTTCAAATCATGAGACTTTATCTTCTATTTACAGAGATAAAAGTACACCCCCAAAATACGGTTAATATTTAAGCACTTTTGTATTTTCATCTGTCTTTGTAGTAGAGGAAAACCACTTTGGTAGTGCCAGTGTGAATCATCCACAATGATTTTTCCAGCATTCATCTTGTTCTCAAGTTTCCTCTGCCATGTTGCTATTGGAGGACGAAGTAAGTACTTTTCTGACTTTTGAAAAAAATATATATATCCAGCCCCTTTGTATATTTCAGAGATAAATAAAGAGAGCTTTAAATTCTCTTTAGAGTGAATGCTGAAGAGATCAGATTGATCCTTATTCTTTAATCTTGCCATGATTAAAGCTCCAGTGTAAGATATTTAGCCTGTTTATGCCTCAGTGTACTAACTTGTAAAATGGAAATAATAAAAGTACCTACTTTAGGTGAGGACATTAGATGAGGTAGTGCATACGATATATTGGGTGTGGAATTTGGTTTACTTCAGTATTCTTTATTGGTGTGCTAACTCAATTTAAAAATGCAGATAGAACTGTGTCTGACCACCTGTTCTCTCTATTTCAGCCTGTCCCAAGCCAGATGACTTACCATTTTCCATAGTTGTTCCATTAAAAACGTCCTATGATCCAGGGGAGCAGATAGTGTACTCCTGCAAGCCGGGCTATGTGTCCCGGGGAGGGATGAGAAGGTTTACCTGCCCGCTCACAGGGATGTGGCCCATCAACACTCTGAAGTGCATTCGTAAGTCAGCACCTTCCTTCACATTCTCTCCCTCGTTGGATTCTGGACATACACATACGGGGGGCACAGCCTACCTAGTTATGCTCAGGGTGCTGGGAGCCAGCAGAGTCTGCAGAATGAAGGGCGGTGAGGAAATGAAAGGGTCTGGAAGGTTCTTCATGGGAGGAGAAAGTAAGGGCAAGGGGTGCTATTTAGAGAAAAGGAGAAGATCGTAGCCTGGGACTAGGGGAGGTTTAAAAAGGTGACCTGGTGTAGTAAAAGAGAAGAAAACACAGTCAAAGCTAAAAGACAAGTGAAGATACTCTGAAATATAAACTGAGGCTGAAGGGCCTCTTGAGAAAAATGAAACTTGGGAACACAGTGTATATTTGGATTTTGCCTCAAAATGAAAGCAGATTTAAAATGAGTAGTTATTAAAATGAATATAAATTTTATATATTATGAATCATATTTATAATTACATAAAATTAAACTAATAATATAAGTTATACATAGTTTATAGTTGTCTTATTATAAATGGTTGCTTTTTCTTACTCATCAGAGCGTGGTTCTATGATATGATGCTAGCATTATTATGTATGTATGTATGTATGTATGTATGTATGTATGTATGTATGTATTACTATAGGGCATGTGCACTCACCAGAGAGACAGAAAGACACAGAAAGAGAGATGGCAAACAAGAAAGCACCCCTCGGGGAGGTGGCCACACCACGATCCCTTCTCCTCTATTCTTCTCTCAGGATTTTGAGCTCACATGCACACATGCCATCAGGGCCTGGACTCAGATATGCAACCAGCCATGTGGGATCCAGCTGCCTTAATCAGAATGCCACCAGGTGGTCTGTTAGCATTATTATTTTTTTTTAGGAGAGGTTTTTGTTGTTGTTGTTACAGGGAACATGTGCTCACCAGAAAGACAGAGAGAGACAGAGAGACAGAAAGGAAGAAATCACCCCCCAGGAGGGATGGCCATGCTGCAATCCATTCTCCTCCATTCCCCTTTCCGGATCTTGGATACACATGCACATATGCCTGGCATGAGTTAAAGCTGCTAGGTCTGGGACTTGAACTGTGGTCAACTATGTGGGAGTCCAGGGACGTAACCATTATGCCATCTGCTGGTCCCAGCTAGCATTTTTTTTTTTCAGTCAAATATTGAGCAGTCAGCCATATTGAATTTCTGGTGATTATACATAGACGTAAAGGAGCAGAAGTAAATATCTGAACTTCAGCTGTTTTGGTTTTACACATGTGATCTTTGTCATGCAAGTGATTTTTTTAAAAAATTAAAGATGAAACATAATTTTTAATAAAAATCCGCCATTAGGGAAAATTGTTCTTTAAGTCAGCTTTAGCTCTCCATATGAATTATGTCATTTTCAAGTTACTTTCCACATATATTTTTGCATAGTATTGAAGAGAATACTTTTCCTTTTGTATTTTCCTATTTCCCCAAAAACTGGGCTGTTTCTGTAGTCATTATAGTACTTATTGTATTGGCTACATAGTAGTTCAACAGTTGATTTACTTTATTTTTTAAATTTTATTTATTCATTTATTTATTTTAATTTGACCAGACACACACACACATATACACACAAACAAGGAGTGAAAGAGAGAGAGAGAGAGAGAGAGAGAAAGTGAGAAAGTAAACCACCAGGTCCGGAACTCGAACTGTGGTTGGCCAAGTGGGAGTGTCCAGTACTTTAACCACCTGTGGTTCAAGTCCCAGACCTGGTAGCTTAAAACTCATGCCAGGCGCATGTGCATGTGTTCCCAAAATCCCAAGAGGAGAATGGAGAATGGTGGAGAAGGAATTGCAGCATCTGCTGGAGCCCTCTACTTTAATTTTTAACAATCCTTTGATGGGGTCAGTAGGTGGCACAGTGATTAAAGTTCTTAGACTACCACATGGCTGACCCCGGTTCAAGTCCTGGACCTGGCGGTTTGAAAATCACACTGACACGTGTGATTTTCTCTTCCTCTCCCAGGAGAATTAAGACTAGGGATTACTGCGTGGCCATCCCCCAGAGGCTGATTTCTCACTTTCTCTCTCTCTGTTTTTCTCTGGTGAGTGCACATGCCCTGACAGTGAACATTTACATTGTCCCAGTTTTGTTATTAGCAGTGACAGCATGATCAACACCCTAGTGCACGGACCATTGGTCTTATTTTGACTTACTTTCTTCGTTCCTAGTAGTGTTATTGGGTCAGAAGATGGAAATGAATTTATATATTTTTATTTTATGAAAACTTCTACAAATAGAAACTTACCTTTCCATTTTAAATCACAGCCAGAGTGTGTCCTTTTGCCGGAATCTTAGAAAACGGAGTGGTGCGCTATACGACTTTTGAATACCCCAACTCAATCAGCTTTTCTTGTAACACTGGGTAAGGACTGTCGGGCGATTAAGCAGCTAACAGCACGTCTTGGTGTCCTTAAGCTAACCATTAAGACTGGCACATATTTGATTTCTAGCCTTTAGGTTGGACTCACCAAATACAAATTCATTTTAGTCCTTTTTTTTTTTTTGTAGAGGTTTTTGCCTTAGGGAGTGCATGCTCACTGGACAGAGAGACAGACACGGTGAGAGGGAAAGTGAGAAATCACCCCCAAGGGGAGGATGGCCATGCTACAATTCCTTCTCCATTCTCCTCCTGGGCTCGTGGGTCCATACGCACATGAATTTGAAGCCACTGGGTCTCAGACTCCATGTGGGAGTCAAGCAATGTAACCACTATGCCATCTTCTGGCCCCATTTTAGTCCTGCTTTGCTTTGCTTTGCTTTGCTTTGCTTTGCTTTCCTTTCCTTTCCTTTCTTTTCCTTTCCTTTCCCTTTCTTTCTTCTTTCTTTCTTTCTTTCTTTCTTTCTTTCTTTCTCTTTTTTTGAGAGAGATTTTTGCCTCATGCACTTGCCAGAGAGACAGAAAGAGGCAGAGAGACAGAAAACAAGAAATCACCCCCCACAGACACCCAGGGGGATGGCTGTTCTGCAATCCCTTCTTCTCCGTTCTTCTTTTAGAATTTTGGGCACACATGCACACACGCCCGGCATGAGTTTTAAGCTGCCAGGTCTGGGACTTGAACCGCAGTTGATGATGTAGGAGTCCATTAAGCCATCTGCTAGTCCCTAGTCCTCCTTTTAATACACACTATAGAGGCTGGCAGGTGGCATGGTAGTTAAGGTGCTTGACTCCTACATGACCGACTGCAGTTTGAGTCCTGGACTTGGTGACTTGCTTTTTCACTTTCCTTCTCTCTCTGTATGGTCAAGTGAGAAAATAATAATAATAAAATAAAATAAACAATTCTTTGAAAATACATACTACAGTGGTATTGAGAGTTGGATAAGAAGAGAATATAACAACTAATGAAAGTTACTATCATATCCAACTTCTCTACTCCTTACTGCTTCCTTATCTGAGGAGATACATTGAAATAATTGAACCTGGATGGCAAATACTTATTATCTTTGGGACAAATCTTGACATAGGGTAAAAATTCTTTAGGCATAAGATTTGTGGGCTACCTATGGCCTGGTGGCTGGGGAAGCCAGATGCCACATGGCCCATGTGCCGTTCAGATCCCAGCCTTGGGGTGAGGGTGGGGGCTTAGAAAACATACCAGGCTTAAGTTCATGCATGATTAAAATCCATTAGGATGGAGAAATGGAGAAGGGATTATAGTGTGACCATGCCCCATTGGAGGGTACTTTCTCTACACATGATTTTGGCCTTAGTTATAAGGCTAATTTGATTGATCAATATGGCGGTAGCCTCCCAAAGAGAATGTAATGGAGAAGGTTGGGCATGTGATGATGTCAAACATAGTTCTTTTAATCCTCACATAATTCAGTATAATATCTCCAAGAAGAAAGCATGTGGTTGGTCATAAATGAAGGAATTTCAAAAAACACTAAAAAGCAGAATTAAAGTATAAGTTTATTTTGGTGCAAAATTTTTTGAAATCCACTTATAGTTTTTTTTCCCCTAATGTGCGTTATCCATGAGCTTTCTGAACACCCTTGGTAGCTTATCAGCTTTATGAGAAAAGGCACCACTGTGACATTATCGATAGCACATTGGCCGTACCTCAGTGCAAAGTTTTACTGAGGCTTCTTCTTTGGGATTGAAAATTAAGGAATTCTGTGTGTGAAAGAGAAATGTATCTTTCTTCCTTTTATCTGAGACACTAATTTACTGGTGTGTCTGACAACAAACAACCTGGAAAAAAAAATGGCTTCAATTACAGAACGTTGTATTTTCACTGGAAATAGACTGCGTTTTTTTTCTTTTACACATTCATGTCAGTAGGCTTCACGGAAACTAGTAGCAGAGCTTATTAAATTGAATTTGCCTTTGTGATCCTGAACGAGCAGAACGTTGGATTTCCACTGGAAATAGACTGCATTTTTTTCTTTTACACATTCATGTCAGTAGGCTTCAAGGAAACTAGTAGCAGAGCTTATTAAATTGAATTTGCCTTTGTGATCCTGAACGAGCTAATTCTTTGCTTTGTGTAAGAAGCAGTTACCTTGACTAACTGGTTGGAGATGAGGGACTTAGGGGTTTGGCTTCGACACTCACTAGTTACAGAAATGTCTAGCGATGCACCTGCAGCATTGATTGGGTGACTCAGTGAGCCCTAGATGCATGTTAACGTGTTCAGGAAAACAGCATTTGAAGATGGGAAAGAAGTTATGAAGCAACGCCCCATGGAGAAGACACTTGAGATGTCAATGAACACATTTTCCTTTTGCAGGTTTTATTTAAATGGAGCCAGTTCCGTGAAATGCACTGAGGAGGGGAAATGGAGTGAGGAGCTTCCTGTCTGCACTCGTGAGTATGTGGGTCCCAGTTATGGGGAAGATGATCTGTTGGTTTGCCCAGAACTTTTCTGGCTTTAGCACAGGAAGGTTCATATCCTAGAAAACCCTCAGTCCTGGCTAATGAGATGGTTGGTCACCTTTACGGGGAATATTGATCCTGATGTCATCCTTCCCGGGAGGATGAAAGAACCTCTTACAATGACAGGAAGCATTTTACTCCTGAACCGTCACCTGGGGGGGACCAGTGCTGGGTTGAACTCCAAAGCTCCCACAGCCTTTTGGATATGTGTGGCGTTGGTCATCAGGGACACCACCATTAGCCCGGGAGAACTTCTGCAAACAGATGGAACACCTGCCACTTCATTCATTCATTCACACGTCCAATAAACAGGAATTGAGGATCTAATGTATGGCAAATCCTGTTCTCGGTACTGAGGCTCCTGCTATTAGGATTTAAGTCTAGCGAGGAGGGAGACAAGGACTGTAATCTTCTCAGTAAGCTAAGACCCCATCAAAGGGCGCTGCAACATAGAAGCTGACTGAGATTCCTGCAAAAGGCTATTCAGGTGACTGTTGGCTAAGCAGTCAGGGCCATCTCTTGGCTTTGCTTATGTGAAGGGTTTTTCAAAAAACTCATGCAAGGGCCAGCAGGTGGCGCAGTGGCTAAGGCACTGGACTCCTATGTGGCAGATCGCTTTTTGCCTCCCAGACCCAGTGGCTTGAAACTCACACTGGGTCGTGTGTATGCATGTGCAAAGAATGGAGAAGAGATTGTGGTGTGACCATCCCCTCGGGGGCTGATTTCTCACTTTCTGTCTCTCTCTGTCTCTTTGGGGAGCGCATACTTGTGCAAGTGTGTGTTAGGAAAAACCATGCATAGATTTCAACTTGTTTTGCACCAGAATATACTTGTACTTTCATTCCATTTCTCCACATACTTTTTGAAATCCCCTTGTGTTGACAGAGCTGTTCTCATGTTGCCTAACCTGGGAGTTACATAAGCCCAGTATTTGACTGGGACGCTAGGCATTACAAAGATAGCTATCGTTCTTTTTTGTTTTAGTGAAGTCTGTTATAGCAAAAGCAAGTGGAAAATAATTTCAAAGAAATACTAGTTTAAGAAAAACTGTACAACCAAAACATTTTTTGAAAGGTACATTTAGATGAGTTTTCCACTTACCAGCAGGGTGATTCCTGTCGTTTTCTTTTTAAGCAGATTTATACCAATTATGTAAACGTACCTTTTTGTTTTAGTTAGAAGCAGAAAGGCTACTTTAGCTTCAGTCTAATCTGAATGAGTACTTCTCATACTTTAATGTATATATGAATAAAAAAAAAATGTGGATTCTGATTTGGGGGCAGGAGTAAAATCTCAGCTTCTGCTCTCTCACAATGTCCCAGGCTATGCCCATGCTGCTAGTCTAAGGCCCACTCTTTTGAGTAGCGAGGATCTAGAGAGATCAAGTTAAATCACATTTTGGTCTCTGCCATATTCTGTTATGTTCATATAACTTTCCCGGAACTTATTACAACTTCCATAAGTCAAGATGACAAGCCACTACCATGTCCTGGGTCCAGTTGAATAAGATCTGTACACACAAAATTACAAATCAGGAGGTATGTGATAGGAACAAATTGAACTAGCAGTGGGACTGGGATGTCACAAATGACACTCTACCGCATGGCTGTCATCAACCATTATTTTAGGATGTCCCCTTAACGATGTCTTCCACTGATTCTGCCTTCCAGAATCTTCCAAGGTAGCATTTAGATGAAAGATTTTTTTAGAATCCTAATCTTTGTGTTGTTGTAAAAGGCAAATTACTGATGACAAGACTTAAGTGTATTTCATTTTATAGTAGTTATGCTAGTTTAAGGCATTTGATGTTGAGATCATATTTTATTTGGTATCCACAATTGACTTCTAAAATTAAAAAAAAATGTTTATGATAGAATGTCTGCATGCAAGAGAGAGAGAGAGGCAGAGAGTTCAAGAGAGTGAGAAAGATAAGAGAAAGGGAAAGAAGAGACAAAAAAGAGGGGCCCTTGCCAATGTGTTGTTATGCCACCGTCCCTCTTTCCCAAACTCTAATCTTTTTTTTTTTCTTTTAGTTTTGGTATAGGGCATATATGCTCATCAGAGAGATACAAAGAGAGAGAGAGAGAAATCACCCCCCCCAGGGGAAATGTTCACACCATAATCCCTTCTCCAGTCTCCTCTCTAGATCTTTGGCACACATACACTTATGCCCAGTGTGATTTTCAAATTGCCAGGTCCAGGATTCGAACTGCATAGTTGGTCATGCGTGACACAGTGCCTTAACCTCATGCCACTGACTGGAGCATCCCAAAGTCTAATGTGCATGCGCCTGACATATTTTTGAGCTGCTGCATGGATCTGAACCTGCAGCTGGCCATACGTTTTTCAGCATTGCAGACCAGTTTCCTAAAACTATATCAACAGGCTGGGTCACACAATTGACTGTTTTCATCCTAGCATTAGATTAAACTTTGTATGTTCTCAAGTTCATCTTTGAATATTTTTTCTTTCTGAAAAGAATATACTTTAAATCTTCAATTATTTCCATACAAATGGTTGCTCTTTCTTTTTCCAGCCATAACCTGCCCTCCACCACAGGTACCTAAGTTTGCAATGCTGAGTGTTCACAAGTCATCAGCTGGAAACGACTCCCTCTACCATGACACCGTCGTCTTTAAATGTTTGCCACACTATGCAATGTTTGGAAATGACACAATTACCTGCACCGCGCATGGGAATTGGACTGAATTACCAGAATGCAGGGGTAAGTGCAAATGACAAGACTGTCATTATCACCCAGATGTGGATCATCACTTTTAAAAAGTAGAGAAAATTTACTATCATGGAGTATTTTAAATGACCTAATCAACAAATGTCTATTGAACATCTACCCTCTGCTAGGCAGCTTGGGGATATCAGATGTATGCAATCTAGCTTCTGACTGAGGAGAATCATGTAGAGTTCAATTCACTGTCTAGAGCTGCTGGAGAAATTTCCCAGGAATGGTGGCTTTTGAAATGAGCCTGGGAGGAGTAGAGAATGAGGGGAAAACATTGGGCACAGCACACACAAAATCAGGGAAGGCTGAAAGGACAGGGTGCACCCACAGGCTGCTGTAGATTTCACTGAGGTTCATGGAGAGAAGCCCAGATTAAATTGGGAGTTTCTTTTTTTTAAAAATTTTTTTCTTGCTTTTTTTTTTTTTTTTTTGAGAGGTTTTTGCTACAGGGCGTGTGCGCTCGCCAGACAGACAGAGAGAGACAGAAAGACAGAAAGCGAGAAATCACCCCCGAGGGTGGATGGCCATGCCACAATCCCTTCTCCTCCATTCTCCTCTTGGGATCTTGGGCATGCATGCATATGCGCCTGGCGTGAGTTTAAACCACTAGGTCCAGGACTTGAACTGCAGTTGACTACATGGGAGTCCAGCGACATAGCCATTACGCTAACTGCTGGTCCCTAAATTGGAAGTTTTAAGAGAGAAATGTAACATGGGATTGCAGTCCAATAGTTAAAGTCTTCACAATCTTTACCGAGATTTAGAATCACAGAACTATCTTATTCTGGAAAAGGAATTATGAAAATTCTTCCCTCTTTCACTGGATTTGTCATTATTATCTTTGCATTTGTCAGCTGCATAAGAAGTAGATAAATTATAGTTTGTCGTGTGCTCACAGGGTTGTTAAGGACCACAAAGAAACTTCAGAAAGCTAGTAGAAAACCAGAATTAAAGTCTGAGTTTATTCTGGTGCAAAAATATTTGAAGCCCATTTATAGTTTTTTCAAAACACACATTCAGCATGAACTTTTTGAAGACCTCTTGTATTAACGTCTCCTATAGAAGATCTTGTGGATATCCACTGAAGGATTGGAGGAACTCCCAGGAACCATAATAACCTGCAGCTTTTTGAACTTTTAGCTATGGGCCAGGCACGGGTTTCCTGTTACATAAGTCTCATCTCACTTTCTTTTCCCAAGTCCTAAGCTGTAGGATTATTTTGTTCTTTCCTTTTTCAACCTCGATGGATCAACTGTTGACCTGTGACATTTTCTCTGTTTCTCCATAGGCAGTTCCTTTCTTTCTGAATCATTTGAAAATAAGTTATATACATATCTAAAACTTACCCATACTTCTACATGAATGTACTAAGAACAAAGACACTCTATATTATCATTGTACCCAAGGCATTCATCATGTTTTAAATCATCAGCAATACTAATTTAAGCAATTATACTAATAAAAGTAATTAACAATAATATCAGGCAGCATTTATTTCAGATGCAAATTTTCTCAATTGACTCATAGATATTCTTGATCCGGATATTTTGTTTTATGCACGGTCTAATCAAGAATTACATCTTTTATTTAGTTATCATATTTCTTTAGTCTTCTTTAATTAAGAATGATTCCTTTTTTTCTTTCATTGACTTTTAAATATATATATGTATGTATTTTTAATTTTACATTTAATTGTTGTACATCTTTACCACATACAATATGGTTTTTCAGAGTGTGCATGTATTGCCTGTCAATCAAGTCAAAGGTATTACTATCTACATAATTTTTTTTTTTTAGACTCCTGCCATAGAGGGTGTGTGCTCACCAGAGAAAGACAGACAGAGATACAGAAAGGGAAAATGAGAAATCACTCCCCAGGAGGAATAGCTGTGCCACAATTTCTTCTCCATTTTCCTCATGAGATTCTGGGCACACACGCAAAGGTACCCAGTGTGTTTATCAAGCTGCTGGATCTGGGACTCAAACCATACAGTAGTCCATGTGGGATCCAGTGCCCTAACCACCACACCACCTGATGGCCCTAGATTTAGCATTTTAAGACAAAAGTTCCAAAAAAAAAAAAAAAAGACAAAAGTTCCCTAAATATTCCCACTTCTGGGTATTTACCCAAAAGACAGGAGAACACTCAGTCAGAAAAGTGCTTGCACATCAATATTTTTTGCAGCATTATTCACAATTGCCAAGACATGGAACCAACCTAAATGTCCACAAACCAATGAATGGATTGGAAAAGTGTGGTATATATACTCTATGGAATACTACTCAGCCACAAAAAATAACAAGACCCTGGAATTTGATAGAAAGTGGGCAGATATGGAGGATCTATTGCTGAGTGAAGTAAGCCAGGCTATGAAAGAAAGATATTGTATGTATCCACGCAGGACGTTAGTGAGAAACAGATATGGCTTATTAACTGTTGATGATGACATGTATAGTATTCTCAACTGGATTGGTCTGAGAAGCATTTCATGATGGGCAAAGTATTTTTACAAGCAAAATGAGAAATAGCGATTGACTGTTTTAAAAAAAAATAATAATAATGATTGGGGAAAACATGGAAAAGATATCGAATGTTGAAGCGGGGAGATTAATGTCTTTGTACTGACTGACATGCATGGTATTCCCTTTTGAAAAAGCAATGTAATACACTGTAAAGTTATATGTAATCCAATGTAATATAAAGAAGATTATGATGATAATAAAAAATTTTTTAAAAAAGTTCCCTAAATATGAGCAGGGGTGATACAAGTGTTTTTGTTTTAATTTCTTGGCTTGTTGATTTAGACAGCAATTTCATTTCTTCTTTCAAACCCCCCCATCTTAGGCTGCATGGAGATAGAATTTGTAATAAATAGTACTTTATGACTCTATGTAAAAACCTAGAGAACTTATTCTCAAAGTGCTCTTGCTTTTTTTAATATCTAGGGTCTCATGAGTATAAGAGAAGGACAGAATTAAGCACCTGGTACTTAGAAATAAATTCCAGTCATAAGAACACCTAGTGTTTCAATGATGTAATGGAGACAAGAATGTAACCATCCCACAACTACTGGACAATGCCACTACTTACCACTAATATGTCTTACTGAATAATCTTTCCAGAAGTGAAATGCCCATTCCCATCGAGACCAGACAATGGATTTGTGAACTATCCTGCACATCAAGCACTTTATTACAAGGATAAAGCCACCTATGGTTGCCATGATACATACACCCTGGATGGCCCGGAAGAAGTCGAGTGCAGCAAACTGGGAAACTGGTCTGCACAGCCAAGCTGCAAAGGTATGGATGTATGCGTGAGGTACACGAGGTCTCCTGATTTATCCTGTGGTCACCTTGACTTGCTATTTCTTTCTTTCAATCATTTCCCACTTGTTGCTCAGACGTGCTTCATACTTGTTGGCATATGAAAGACTGCAGTGCGTGGGGAGTCCTCATGCTTAGGAAGCTTGCTTGAGATGAAACTGTAGGCAATTTGGGGAGCATTGATAATATGGTGGACGATCATATGGGCTTCCTATACTTTCTCTTAAGTTTCTCCAATCAGCATCCTTCTTTTTCCCACTGTCTATCCAAG